AAATTGAAAGCCTATCCCCAGGCCTGCTGGGAGAGCCAGATCTTGAGGGCTGCGCGGAAGGTCTGGGTAGTGGTCCATCTCACTCCACCCCACCCTACCCCATCCCATCCCATTGCGTAAAAATATGGATTTTATTGATGGATATTCTTATTTGTAAATGGATGCTATTGTAGACAACATGTCTGGTTTTCTAACTCAGGGAACCCCCTTATTGTAGGTCACAGTTGTGTCAGGCTGGGCACGCCTTGTTACAAACTTTGACTGGCATGGGTGAAGATAAGGAATTAAGTTGTTTTGAAGTAAATTTTTCAATAGTTGCAAAACCAGATATTCCCTCCAGCTTTGTACTGTCTGTTCTGACCTAGCAGTAGTTTTCTAAGTTCTCAACATTAACTCTGAGTTGTTTTTAACTGGATAAGCTTAGGACTGAACCCGAAAGCAAACTGAATGCTATGTGTCATGTTTTACCCATAAAAGGAGAAGCATGCTCTTGCTCCTGGAAATAGGGCTTATGATACTGTACTGCCACAGCATTTCAGGACAAACAGTGTTGCAGAAACGGCAAAAGCTGGGCTTGCTGTGCTGTTATCCCACTTTACCATGCATTCTATCTGCAAACATAATAGTCTGAGCTCAGCCATCCGGCTGTTTAAAAATACCCATGTGGGTAGAGTTGTAATCAATGATGGGGGGCTTTTGGAAACAAATGCTTCCAGTTTTCTAGGACATCAGCTATATGCCATTAAAAAAAACAAAACAGAATTATGGGTATTTTAACCAATTCTGCTAAGCCTCTGGCTTGGGGTTTGAAACTTTTTTTGCTGCGAAAGCCAACTGCAGGAAACCACCAGAACCTTCAAACAAATTTAATGGCTTGCACTTCCTCAAAGGAAGGACTGGAGAAACTAAGAGCCTAACCAGCTGAATTGTTTTATAACCTTAAAAAATAAACATGTCAATGAGAGATCCACATTGATCCCACCTCATAAAGATATTAGCCAAGCAAAGTGGAGATTTGAAGATGAGGATTCAGGTGAGGGTCAGGTACTGGAGAGAATAATTCATCCCTCTGTTCATGCCAATGAAACTGCCCTTTTTTTAGATAGATGCCACATGAGACTTTAATGCAGAGACTTCTGCATTCTGTGGAATGCAGAAAAAATGCAAAGGCAGAAATAGAATAGAGTAGAATAGAATAGAATAGAATTCTTTATTGGCCAAGTGTGATTGGACGCACAAGGAATTTGTCTTTGATGCATATGCTCTCAGTGTAAATAAAAAGACAAGATACATTCGTCAAGAATCATAAGGTACAACACTTAATGATAGTTTTAGGGTACAAATAAGCCATCAGGAAACAATCAATATCAATATAAATCATAAGAATACAAGCAACAAAGGTACAGTCCTGCAGTCATCAGTGGGAAGAGATGGGTGATAGGAACAATGAGAAGATTAATAGAAATGCAGACTTAGTAAATAGTTTGACAGTGTTGAGGGAATTATTTATTTAGCAGTGTGATGGTGTTCGGTCCTTGTGTCTAGTTGCCTTGGTGGGCAGTGCTCTATAGCTTCGTTTTGAGAGTAGGAGTTGAAACAATTTATGTCCAGGATGCGAGGGGTTATAATATAATATTTGCAGTATATGTAAATATTTTCATAGCCCTCTTTTGACTCGTGCAGGGTACAGGTCCTCAATGGAAGGCAGGTTGGGGTTGGCAAGATATGGGGACTTTTGTTATAAAATACAAGAGATAAGGAATTGCTGGCAAAATTGGAGCAGAAAGAGAAGTGGTACTGTAGAGAGAAAAAGAGCATGGTAGAGAATTTGGAAGTGTGGTATCTCCCGGGGGTGAAGGAACCAAAGCAGAAGGACTATGGGAGGGAGTTGTTGAGGGCAACTAAGTGAGGTTGAACTTTGAAAGAAATGGCAGAAAATGGACTAGCCAGAAAATGCAGAGTTAAAATTGTAACAAAACCCTTTAATGCAGTTATACAGTAAGGCCCCTTTTGACCTCATAACATGTTTAAAAGTGGTTTGGATGATTTATATTGCACTCAACATTAACTTCCTCTCTATCCTTTAAAATTTCAACTTTTGTCCTTAACTGGGGAGCTTGGCCAGCTTCCAGGGATTCCTGACCTTTTGAATCTCCTTGCACAGCTACAGGAGGGAAGAGGGATGTAGGAAAGTTGTATGGGAACTTGAAAAGTTTGTTTTATAAACATGCAAGGAAGTTTTACATTTGAACTTGGCTTTCATGCTTTCTTTGTTTTTTCTTCTCTGTGCAGCCATCCACCGAAGAGAGCCCTGCAAAGCATGTAGATACCCCGGTAAGTTTCTCTCTTTTAGAGTTTGTTGTGACTGACGCTACATTTCTTCTGTTCCATGTCAAATAGCTCCCCATCTAATTTTCTGCAACCACATTAGTCTTTCTGGCTATGAGAACTGCCCAAATCCCTGGTTCATACAGCTATTTCAGCCTTTCCTTTGTGTTATCATGTTTCTAACCCATTTAGCAACAAAACTACAACTTATTTTCCAACTGAACTGAGCGGTGGTGCTGGAGACTGTCCCTAAGGCCTGTCAACAATAGTGCAGCTCTTTGCTCTAGCATCAGGAGTGAAACATTTAGTGCTAAGCAATTTGCAAATTATATGACTTAGGAAATGGCAAGTGATATGACTTAGGAAATGGTTTTTCAAACATTGCATTAAAGTCAGCTTAATTGAATCCATCTTAATTTATTTACATATTCACTGTACTCTGCCTTGCTTTTCCACTCTTAGGAAATGGAAGAGGGAAATAGATTTAAAAAGCAAAAGCAAAACATAGAATAGTTACAATCTGATTAAAACAGCAGCTAAAAATCATGATTAATTTGATGCATTAATTGATTTAATTAGCCCAAATGAAATAATATTTCATTTAGTCTATAAGTTCAAGTTGAAGGGAAAGATTTTGCCTTCTTTCCTAAAGATGGAGAAATTGGGGGATAATAAACATAATTCCCAAGGGAGCTGTTCCTAGTCTGGGAAGAATGCAAGGGAAACCCAACTAACACAATTTAAACCCAGCTCCAGCCTCTCCTAACTGTACTCAAGATTCAGTATATATAACCTTGCTTAAAACCATTGCAAGCTGAGTTTATTAACAGTTATGTTCGGAAGAGCCATCTTGAATTTTGTGTTTCTCATTTCCCCCCAAAATGATTTGGAAAATAGTGTCTTGGATCTTGTATAAACCAGAGCCCTTCACTTCTCTGTTCTTCATTAAAGCAGGCTATTTTTTCAGGCTTTCAGACACAACCCTTTTTTTTTTAGGTTGGCACAGAAACTTGAAAAATTATGGGCTGCTTTTATGAAGTGCAGAGAGGTGCTGAGCTCAAGTTTATGCAAGATGCAAGGCATTTTTCCCGAATTATTTTGGAACATGAACAGTCCTAATTTATTTAGTGAATGTACCATAAATCTTCATTGAAATAGACTAGAATTGTAACATCAAGTTCTAAATAGAAAATGCAACATTGTTTTTCCAATGACAGTGCAATAAATTCATCCTCGCATATTCCAAACATAATATTCACTGATTTGGGAAGAAATGTAAGGAATTCAGTATGGAGAGCCACACAAAACACTTACAAAGAAACCAGAAGTTAAATACACTGACCCTAGATCTTACATGAAGCCTACATTCACTCCGTTACTACAAGAAAAGAAAGCTGTTAATAACAATAACAGAGTTGGAAGCGGCCTTGGAGGTTTTCTAGTCCAACTCCATTCTCAAGCAGGAGACCGTTCACCATTCTGGTCAAATGGTTGTCCAATTTCTTCCTAAAAACATTCAGTGATGGAGGACCCACAACTTCTGGAGGCAAACCATTCTATTGATTAATTTTCCCATGGTCAGGAAATTTCTGCTTAATTCTAGATTGGATCTTTCCTTGATAAGTTTCTGTCTGTTACTTCTTGTCCTGCCTTCAAGTGCTTTGGAGAATCGGTTAACACCCTCTTCTTTGTGACAGCCCCTAAATATTGGAAGATTGCTATCATGTCATCCCTAGTCCTTCTCTTCATTAGACTAGACATATCTATACTTACTTTCTCCAATCCCCTAATCATCATCGTTGATCTTCTCTGTACTTTTTTCTAGAGTCTTAGCATCTTTTTGTATCATGGAAACCAAAACTGGATGCAATATTTCTAATGGGGTCTTACCAGTGGGATATAAAAGAGTATTATCACTTCTCATGATCTTGATGCAACTTTCTGTTGATGCAGCCTAGGAATGCATTGGCTTTTTTTTGGTAGCTGCAGCACACTGCTGGGTCATATTTAAGTGGTTGTCCACTAGCACTAGATGCCTCTCACAGCTGATATTGCAATAGTACTGAATTGATGTTGATTATTATTTTTTGCTTGATAATATTATTCACTTCAGGATTGTGAAAGTGATATTTTTTCATTATTGATTACATACAGTGAAGTCATTCTCAACTTTTTAGCAACCACATTTTTTTCATTCTACATTTGAGAAATATCGACCTTGATAAAGTCATTGTCAAAATACAATGAAAAATTGTTCCCTAGGCACTTAGCAGCTAGCTAAAAGCTCCTCTGGGTGGTCTAGTTGGATGTAGCTGTAATAACTGGTAGGGAATGGAAATTCACCAAGGTATCTTTTATAACTAGATAAGCGCAAGAAACATTTTTTTCTAGTTACAGAATTAGCCAGTACAATCTGTGATTTCCTGCTCTAAAGAAGGAAGTATGAAAAGAGAAAAGGCTAGGTCTTTTGAAATGTAACATCTGGACCCATTCTGAGAGGATGGAAATTTCTTGAGAGTCAAGGAGTGTCTGGAAACAAAACTGTTTTTCTTTGAGAAGAAATGAAAAACATCTTGCCTTAAGCCCAATGCCCTTCTTTAAGGACTAGAGTAGGAAAAGGCATTCTCTGGGAGAAGAGCCATCCATTTTCCTGAGAAAAATTATTCATTTATGTAGACAATTTATACAACTGCTTATTGTAAATACATAATCCTGGACAATGAGTATTCCATACGAAACAATATTTAAAAAAAACCCTCCACCCCATAAAGAATTTAAAGTACTCTGATATAAGAAAAGACAACCGGGGCACTATATACGAATGTGATAAAAATAAAGACATGTATACAGGTAGCCCTAGCTATTCAACTATTTGTTCAGCAACCGTTTAAAGTTATGACAATGCTGAAAAGGAGACTTATAACCTTGAAGATCTGGTTGCCCCAGCACTCCTGCAGTCATGTGATTGTGCACTGTCGGTTTGGCAACCGCCAAGATCCCCACAGGATCCCCATTTGCAATCTCCCCTGTCAGATTCTTACAAGCAAAGTCAATTGGGACACTAGCTGAGAAAGTTGCAAGTCCCTCTAGTCCAGGGGTTCCCAACTGGGGATGTGCAACAATATTCTAGGGGATGCAAAAACGTGGGTTTAGAAGTTTCAAAATTCTATGTGTGTATGCATAATGATATGCATATAATTATTTACTTTTGTAAGGGGTACGGAAATATATCAGAAGCATTCTAGGGGTGTGGGGTGTAGAAAAGGTTGGGAACCTCTGCTCTAGTCCGTCTTCCCCTGCCCAGTCCTGCCGTGCCTTACCTGCCTACTGGGTTTCTTGCAAGCTGCCTGGGATTTGCTTAATGATCCACGATCCTTACTTAACAGCAGTGATGTTGGAATGCAGAGATTGCTGTTGCTAAGTGATGTCATCATGTGACATCTCAACTTTATGACTGCATTGCTTAGCAGTGGAAATTCTGGTTCCACTATTCATAGTTAACTGATAGTTACCTGTATTGGGTCCCATAACATTCTGACTATAATGCTTGGGAGGTGGGGGGGGGGGGAGAGCCGGATTTTAGCAGCTTTCCAGGAGGGTTGTGACTTAGATCTTCACCTAAAGGCTGCCCAGATTGGTGGGTTAGGTTAGCAGAGCTCTTGCATTACTGCTGTCTGTTCTTGTGGGATGTTATGTTTTTGCCACTCCGGATAAGCATATCTAATCGTTTGCAGTTGTCTTGGTATCACAGGACCTTTGATTGCATTGCTTGGGGAAGGAGATGAGTTGGCTGCTACAGCTCATGAGATTCCTTTTTTCTTTTCTTGGCAACCTATCCAAATATTTAACAATTGAAGAAGCTAAAATGAAATCATGTGGATGTGAACTGAGCAGGGCTTCTGTGTGCTCTGGAAAATAAGAATTCTCTGGTGCTGACTCTTATATATATATCTTAGATATGTAACCTATAAACATCAACAGAAGCCCCTTGGTATGTTTGTTGTCATCAGCATCTCCTGCCTATTAGCAACATCTTTGAAGAGCACTGTTCTAATTTGACATGTGATAGTTCATGTTGTTCATTTGCCTGATTAACAACAGGGTCTCATCTGTTTCTGGTTTTATATAGTTGGTTGAGATCATGGGTTCATGGGTTCTAAGGCAGCATGTTAGGGTTTCCTTGTAAGGAAAGCACCAGAGGTGAATTATTTTCTCAGAAAAAAAAAGCTTTGGACTACCCATATTTACCTGCAATTGTAGTGGCTTCAGTCTAGGAAACATCTTGTAAGAACCTGATAAAAGGAGACTGCCTTTCCCTCTTCTCTGGTGCAACTAAGGAATTTTGATTAAGTGTTGACTAGGGATGGCAGAACTATGAAGAATTGAGCTCAGTCACCTGTCAGCAGAAAAAAAGTACCATTGATCCAATGAAATACAGCATATTTTATCTCCATTACTTTGAAGTGAAAGTTCAACATAGCCAAGGCAAGCCAGTTTAGCCTGATACTCAGGCAGATAATTCTACAACTTCCATTGCTTGCATGGTCTTTCATTAATTATATCATGCTTTTGGCCATGAGATGAGACATCATGCTTAATAGTAAAATCTAAGTTAATCAAAACAGTATAACACAGAAGCAAAATCAGAACGTGAATCTCATTACCCTTCAAATGGATTAAGCATACTTAAGATCTCACCCTTAATTATGATACTATTTCTGTCATAAATCAGACCTCAGAATTTACTAACCTGCATCAATATTTTACTCATCTCCTTTTTCTCAAAAAAAGGGCCCTTGGCCACTAGAAAGAATTCTAATTCTATTTTCCAGCTAGTTTCCTGCATTGACAAGAAGTGAGACTCTTCCCACTACGACCAACACAAAACCTTAGTGTTTGTTGAAGGAATTGCAGATGCTCTGTTTAGTTTCTCCAAAATTCCTGTATGGAATACTATATCACCTAGAGAGACTAAGCAGGTGCAATACTAATAGACTGCCTTTAAA